GCAAACGTTTCACGATCGACTCACATCGTTCAATTTCGCTCGCCAGACACGCTGGAAGATATTTTTCAATATTTCTCACATATAATTCCACATGCGAACACGCCTAACCTCACCTAACCTCACTTCCGTTATTTTCTCGGTGTTCCGGAGCAAGTTACCGCGACTTCAAAGAACTCTTGTTCGAGCATGACGCTGGACAAGCCTGAGAAACTAATCAGGACTGTTAATTCATTCAATTTTCCTCTCTCATTTTCACGTGGAAAAAAGACTGGAAGTCAATTCGAAGCGTCATCTATCTTCTTTGGTAGGTTCGATTGGCAACACTGCTCATGTCGGCAACGGATATGTATTAATAAAAGGATATGTCTGAATTTCATCGAATTGTTTAATCAGTTTGACGAAAATTCACTGATTTCACAATTGATTCGCGTTGTCTTCTTTCCTAGGGACATTTCTCGACTTTCTTAAGTTGGCAGGATGATGTCTCGAGGCTTGTCCAGCGGCCACACGTCACAATAGGCCATTATCTCCTATCTAAGAATTCGAAAGACTAACTAAAAGAAGCGAAGAGCAAAGTGTCGCTTCGAAATTCCGCTTTTGCCGCCATTTTATGTTAGTTTTTCTGAAACTGAAAGAGCCTCTCTGGATCCACTTTGCCTTGAGAATAACGAAAAACATAAAATAATGGACGAAGAAACCACATTTTTACTAGATTTTATCGAAATTCTCAACTATTCAGGAGCACTCTTCAAAATTTACTATCAGAGGTGAATTAAAATTCCTAGAATGTCCTCAGAACAGCAAAATTACCACAGAAGCTCTTTCAGTCACTCTATCACTTCGGTACGTGGATAGATATCGATTCAAGAGGATCGATTCTGTGTTTAAATTGAAAGGAATGATCTCTAACACTCGTCTAACATTCCGGGGATTTTGTAAGTAGTTGTGCAGGCACTGTTCTTTCACAGAATAGAATGCTTCATCTCTCTGTAAATCATTCATCACGCTGACGCGTACGATTCTCGATCCCTGAACGAATACCAACCACCAGTTCCTCCATTTTATTTCGACTATCAAGTTAAACTAAAAAGTGTCTAGCGTGCACATCGTATGAATTGAATTTTAGTAAAGTTACACCATGATCTAGAGAGTATTTGAATTTTCTTTACCGCTAATATAGTCGAAAGTGTACCTAGTGATTTTTTTAGAGGTTCCTAGAGAATTTTTCTCCGAGAATCTTCTTATTAAATGTTATTCTAAGTACATAGGATTTTTCAGAGTCGCTGGTACTCGTTCAAGAAGTAATGGGAATGGTCGAAGCTTGTCGATCAGCGCTGAACAAGCGGATATCCGGAACAACGATCATCGCTCGACACAAATCGAAGTGTCCATGGGATGAAGAAGAATTTTTCCCTATAAATATTCTCAAATCTCGCTAGAACTGCAACAATATTCTGATCGGTCTTCTTCTTCAATTGTTTCCCTTCGAAATAGTTGTATTATTATTTTAAATAAATATTTCGAGACCTAACCTAACCTAAAGAAGGGAATACAGTTGCTGCAATAATAGTTAAAAAATATAATTTTTTTTTGCTCTTATTCAACCCTAGGACACTTCTAATGGCGACGTTACAGGAGTTGGGACTGAGAACTGAAAAAATGCTAAGAGAGGAGCCTCAATCGTGGATCGATAGATCGTAGATCGAGCCCGTGGATCGATCAATCGCGCATAGAAAGTATATCTCGTCATATGTATATATGATACATATATATACATACATACATACATACATACATACATATATATATAATATATAATA